ACGGTATAATTAGGCTCAAGAATCCTGAAAGAACAAATGACGTATGAACCAATTATTGGTCACCGACTACCATAGGACTGCATCTTCTGACGTTGCTCCGCTGTCTTGTGGATCAGACCTTTAATTCGAAAGTTCTGAGTGGGGCCTCCCTAAGAAAACAACCTGCTTCGGTTCGGGCACTCGGGTAGTATCACAGTCCACACACAAATCAAGTGACTTTTGTGGCGTATATATTTATTCGGTTCCTCTTTGTACCAATATTTATGTGTTCAAATAAATATATAAATCAGTTTCGAATGAGGTCACTCTCACGATTTTCAGTATTCCTTCTCTCAAGCTAATGTCGATCCATGATGAGAACTGTATCATAGATAAATCTTTTCAAATAATTTATAGAATTGGCTTTATAATACTTAGTTACTATTTAGAATTGGTTCACAAACCACTGAGTCCCAATTTAGTGATTTCAATGTCCTGGATCCAATCCTCTGTGAGGTCATGAATGCACACTGCTGAAGAGTTCTGAACTAGAACTATACATCCGTACCATACCTCCTAGTCTTCACTGACGACCATGTGACGACTTATTATCATTCCGTGATATCTAAGTAATAAATTCAATAATTTTCACAATGAAAAAATATACTTAAAGTGTGACAGTGAATTTTCATTCTCAATAGAGATTGTATCAATAAATTTAGATTGACTATTAAGTAAACAGAAAAAAAGGTTGGTAATTAAATAGGGTTAATTATTTCACTATTCAATCCTTCTCTTCTCTATTTCTATATCTTAATTTGTTCCCATCTCAACAAATATGATATCTGTCATTTATCTTGTATACAAGTTATAAAAGATTCGGATACCCCCCCCCTACTTTTCTTTTGCACTACACATAAATTCAATATATCTATATGTCTCCATCATTTTAAATTATCACCTATTTCTAATCTAAGACTTACCGAAAATAAACACGCAACGTATATTCTCTTGCTTATCATTTATTAAGTGTCAATCAAGTTTGTTTATTGTAATTTAATCCAACTTTACTAAATAAAAAATATTAGATTTAATTATTGTATCAGATAGAAGAGATTGAATAATAATACTAATCATCATCATCTCTGCCTGTTACTCCTCGTGCAGGAGCATAGGCCACCCACCGGCAATCGCCATCCAACCCTTTGTCCTGAACAATCCTTTTCATATCTGCTTCTATTTCTCGACGTAATGTGTTCTTTGGCCTTTCTCTTTTCCGTTTCCCTCCAGGATTCCAAGTTAGGGCTTGCGTCGTGTTGCAGTTTGATGATATAGAAAAATGTAGCGTAAATTTTTTGCTTTCATGTTTATCGTTTAATATTTGCTTATTCATTCATTTATTGTATGTTCTAATTGCACATTAATACACTTCTGTACTATGTCCTTATATGCAATCTTTCTTTTATATATTACTATCATTGAATTGACTACTTCTATGAATCCGGTGTTTATCTTGTTGTGCTAATGCGGTATGGCAACTTGGATCGATGCATATATGTGACGGGTCCTACATTGTAGCTGACTGATTGTCATTCACTTTGTAGTATATGATATTGATGAATAGAACAGATAGTTTTCTTCTTTCAGATAATTGGCTTAAAGTGTGGTTTCTTTTTAGCACTGATAGTATTTGTCAATTGGATAAAAAGGTTAATAATGAGTTATTGTACCTAAGACTTAATAATTGTTACCGTGATATTTGAAAATCTTGGATTTGATTTCATTTATAGTGATCTTGATTGCTGTTAGAGGTATGAGGCCGATTATCACTTCACGGTTGCCCACACCGTGGAAGGGTTCTTCTAGAGGTAGGTACATGAAAAGGGACTTGGATTAGAGGTGGTCTTAGTGACCTGAGAGTGTGACCGCAGTACCCAAGAGACAACTGCTTGAAACTGATCACACACGACCTTTTTGTGAGTAATTTTTGTGTTAGCTCCGTACTTGTTCAGACCGTACCACCGAAGGTGGATATCTGTAGGATAAGGCGAGGTGTGGATTTTTAGGGTCAACCTTTTCTAACCCCACTCTTCCTTTGTGAGAAGGCAGGATCGTTGTTATGCTGGTTGTCTGAAAGAAACACCTTACTGCTGTCACACTTCTGTTTAGTCTGCAGTACGACTTCGCCTTCGAACCTTGGGTTTGCTGCTATTAGTCTGACTGGCATGATAGGACCTTGAGGAACGATTGTTCCAGTAAGTATAACTATTGCTTCATCACGATAGGCAATCCCGATCACCACTTCACGGTAGAAGCAACGGTCTGCGATAAACTTGATGTAAATCATGAAGTCGATCCTCGGTGGTGGTCAATAGGTGCCTATTTGTTAGATTTGCATAAAACAACTATCTAATATTTAGAACAGGGATTTTGTGGAGATTGTATTAATTTTAACATTTGAATTGATGATTCAGCCTAAGTTTGACAACCATTGGAAACCTGGAGGCACTGGAAAACCGTTTCATCCTAGTATAGGACTCTTCAACAGTACACATTCACGATATGACACACAGGGCTCGAAACCGGGACCTTCGGTCTCGTGCGTGAACGCTTCATCTCTATACCACTGAGCTTGAATCCAACGGTGTTAATGTCTAACTCCAATTGATCCATGAATTTACCTAACCCTTCATCCATTATCTGAGGTGGATAACTGTCTCCATCCGGAATGGATTAACTCCACTAGTCACAATTTCTCACGATAAACTCCAAGTAATCCATCTTGAAGTTAGTCATTATTGAACATATGATTATTATCAGAATAGGAATTTTTCAAGATTCAACTGATGAATTGATCTAAGCTAGAACGAAATGATCGTCTATTGCTTTCATGTTTTCAATAATACTTTAACTTAGATCAACTTTAATATTTCTTTCATTTTCAATATTTGTCTAGTTTCATTCAATGACAACTAAAAACTAATTTTAATGGATTTTTAGTATGTTTATACACAAAAAAAAAACGAATCGTTAAACATGAACTTAAATGAAATTTATAAAATTACTTGTGTTTTTTTTTTACCTTTTCTTGTCAAAATCAGGAAAACTGTACACCTTAGTTTCTCTTTTTTTTTTCTTTTTTTCGAAAATAACCCATATACGCACAGACACACACACACACAGTGATAAATTTGTGTTACTAGTCAAGTTGAATACTTTATATTTTACTACAATTGAATGCTTCATTTATCGATTAAATTTTATGTATAAATATTGTATTGTTAGTTGAAGTGATTTGTTCTTAGTCTATAAAACGTTCGTTCTTTCCTTTTTTTTAAAAAAAAAGAGTACGAGTACTTCCAGGTTTTCCATGGTGGCCTAACTTCAATTGACTCATGATCTGAACTATTGAAATTACTATAATATATCCACAAAACCGCTTTGTGATACTAATCAACATATGCTTACTAGTGACTGGTTTCAAGAGGTATATCCTGGAGTTCTAGTGAAAAAAAATGATCAGTGGAGATCAACCGGATCAGTTGTGAGATAGTAACTCATTGATGACAATGGTGAATGTGTCGCTCAAGTTTGTGGATTGGTTGAAGTTAGACATTAACAGTGCTAGATGCCGGTTTACTGGTCTAGGCGCTCGCGTGAGAGACTGATAAATTCTGGGTTGGAATCTCGTGGGAGGTGGGATCGTGGATGCCCACTGCTGAAGAGTCCCATAATACGACAAAACGGCCGTCCAGTGCTTACGGGTTTTCAGTGGTTGCCTAACATCAATCAGTTCATGATCTCAATCAAAAACTTAATCTACACAACTCTAAACTGATAATCAATATTCACAATAGTCTTTTAACTGAATTTAGAAATATTTAAGAGTTTACAACTCTATAATAGTCAAACTATAATACGATTTCAGAAAGGGTTTTGTGGATATCATAGTAATTTTAATAGTTGAGATCATGAGTCAATTGAAGTTAGACTACCATGAAAAACCTACAAGCACTGAATGACCGTTTCTTCCTAATGTGAGTTCGAATCTCTCGAGGAGAGATCGTGGATGTGCAGTGCTGAGGAGTCCCACGGTGGTCTAGCTTCAATTGATTCATGATTTCAACTATTGAAATTGCTATAATATTCACACAAAAAAACCCTTCTGATATTTACGAGTTGTTTTATTTTTCAAAAAGAATCATAGAAGTGACTCGGTGAAATGTAGATCAACTTCAATACTAACTTTATTGAATATCATTCATCATTATCGTTCCATTATATGAAAGTCTATATATATATTATTAATAAGTTCAGTCATTATAATTAATGCACAAATCACTAAGTAGGAGAAAGTATAGATGTTACACTTAGTATCAACACACCTAAAATGACAAATGTAAGATTGAATGTATCATTAAGAATTGCTTAGTAATGAACAGATATTGCATTTTAGCATAGGACGTTTCCACCACCAAGAATCGAATATTTGACTTTGTAGGTCATGAGGCTTATGCCTCACCTCTTAAGATACTTAGTCAAAATCTAATAACTATTATTACTAAATTCAATCAACTCACCATATAACACAAGGATCATTCCATATCACTTGTATTGATTGTCTCTTTCGCAAGATTGTTGAACTCGTTCAAGTGTAAGTTTCCACTGGAGTGTCAAGGACTCATTTCGTAACAATTTTTCACCTCATAAATTAAACATAATTGAAAATATAAACTGTTGGATTAAAACATTAAATTATCTGATGGTTAAGTGATCGTTGTACGAGATTAAAAGGTCTTAAGTTTGAACTCCACTGACTAGATTGTAGGTGTGGACTCCTGTAAAATAGTATAAACAAATCGAAACAATTTTTCAAAGAACATTGATTTTTCAGTTGTCCATTCTCAAGTGTAATATCAGTGTGTGATGAAAGTGATCGAATATGGTTGTATTTTTTCCAAATGTTCATTTCTACATCTTCCCCCCATTGATCTCTTTCCTCTTTTCTTTTTGTTTTGCAGGATAATAATCTAGTTCGACATTTAGATGCATGTGAAACAATGGGCAATGCAACAGCGATTTGTTCAGACAAAACTGGTACATTAACTACAAATCGTATGACAGCTGTTCAATGTTTCATTGGTAATAAACATTATAAACGTATACCGACAGCTTCAGAATTACCAGAATCTATCACCAATCTCATAGTAATGAATATATCCATTAATAGTGGGTATACATCGAAACTTTTGGTAAGTGACTATGATGTTGTTGTTGGTAGTAGTAGTATTATTCTTTTTTTTCTTTATCAATGTTAAATAAAGCAAAACAAAACAAGAAAACATTATTGGTAAGTCTGATACATGAATATTTAGCCATGGACTTTGTAACCACTTTCTAGACCCCAGAAATATGTACTTTCAAACCCTGAAAAGAAAAGATGAGATGTATAAAATGAGCTTTATTTTCTGAGCACAAAGTATTTCAGCAAGTTTCCTTTTCTTATTTCTTGATCGATCCTGACGATAATGTAATGAGTGATAGCCAATTGGATGTTAGCAGTTCAGAAATCAACATCTGGATAGCGTTCATTCTTTTCAATGCATATTGCCAGCCACCACAATGTCTCGTATTGTACTTTTTTGTAACTCGTACAATGAAAGGTCGTAAACTTTTGATAAATGCATCTGAATAGTTTATGCGATTAATTGACATAAGAAAACATAACTTGTTGAAATATCTAGGTGACAGGAACGGGTAACCCGGATATTCAAGCAGGTCGCCATAAGTTGTTGAACCGATCGGAATTTATATCAAGCCCCTAAGTTGATTATGACTGGGGGAGTGATTGATCGATCCAATTTTCAATGGCTTTTTCTAGTAATTATAACAAGCTGTGAACCCAGAATATGTAACTCAGTTGATCTAAATCATTTTTGCATTTGATTTAAAGTTAAATGTTTTGAGAGATCTAAACATAACGTCTGATTTTCAAAACTTTAGTTGATCGAGCAGTAGCGACGGGACGGGGAGGGGTCCAAACCTCTACAAAATTAGTTAACTATGATAAATTTCGAAGTGATCGTATCATTGACTTTTAATAATACTGCTTCCAGTGCTATTTTTTATTAGTTATGTTGTATTAAATATATTTTTTATACAGAGAGACAATCTGGAAACCAATTTCATAATAGTAATTAAGCGTCATTTATTATTTATACTTCTAAAAACGATGAACCATTGATATTCCCACGACAAGAAGTAAGAACACAAAGACTTATACAAGTGAAGATTTAATCACCACCTAGAAAATACAACGATAACCATAGTCAAGAATACATTAACTTATAAGTTGATTTGTATACCCTTTTTGATTGTTAGTTAGTAACAAGTTACGTGTATGAAAAATGTTTAGAATTATAACGAATTACATGCTGGATATCATGTTGAATATAATTCACGTTAACTTGATACAAAGAATATCAAGTCTCGAATAAACATCAAACTGAAGTAAATCAAGCTCCTAAATGCCCCTGGTATGGCCGAGGGTGAGGAGAGTTCGCTCTCCTTCTCGAAATGCTCTCACGTGGCCACACGTATATAGCCACTGACAGGGAAGTCCTACTCATTGCCTTCTCGCTGCTGGGGTGTTGTTTACGAAATTGAAAGGACGAAAAGCGAATATCCGGAGCTTTCACCAAGTCGGTGGATATGGAGGATCTACCTAGAAGTGTTGGGAAACCCTACTTTCAAACCAATGATGTACATGGGCTCCTGGGTCCCGAAGGAACATATGGCCTATGAATGTGCGCTTGGTCACTGGCTACCATGAAACTGCATCTTCTGACGTTGCTCCACTTTCTTGTGGAATAGACCTTTTGGTCAAAGGCTCAAGGAATGGACCATTAATAAGATCACCTGTTTCTGTTTGTGCAGCTAGGTAGTATTCCAGCCCTCACACAAATCATTCGATCTGAAATAACTAAATAAATATTAGGAGTAAATCAATGTTATAGTGAATAAATTACCCTGGATAACCATTATATTAAATTAAAAACGGAAGTAATGTTGAATGAATAGTTACAATGAGTTAAAAATGTAATTATGCCTCTGTTTTATCTCGTCATATCAATGATGTACTCATTCACCTATGAAACAAAATAAACCATGAGGTTTAAATCTTTTTCCATGAGTTTCAGTTAAAGTTTGAAGTTGGGATCAATAAACTTTGTACAATCACAGTGTCAAGTTCATCTATATCACAACTTCTTGTAGTGATTATTTATAATTAAAATAATAGATTTGTACAGTTTATTTCAATTTAAAAGATCATCTACATCACTAAGTCAACTTTAGAGACTGATCCAATAACAATAGTATTGTTATCTGTGGGCAGAGATGGATGATGGCTAGTACGTTTCTTCTTATCCGGGGCTTGCCAGTTATATACATTTGTATGCCAGAATTGATGTTCACTCCGGGACTCGAACCCAGTACCGTTCGCCTTAAACGCCGTCGCGTTTTCCACTTAGCTACTGAGTCCTGATAGCCACCTGCTTGTGCAATGTGGTTCGAGTCCCGGAGTGATCATCAACTATGGGACGCAGGTACATCCAGCTGACGAGTCCCGAATAGGACGAAACGCGTGTCAAACTGGATTCCACTGTTAACCACTATCCATCTTTGTTTATAATGCTTGTAAATCAAGGCAATATCGAGGCAATCCACACATGATGCACATATGCCAACATGAGACTGATCAATTGCAGTTCTAAATAACAATGGGAAGATACAAGTAAAACAACACCAAATGAACTTAGTAGATATAGTTAATAAAAAATAAGAATAAAACAACAAATCTAAAACTGAAAAATTTCTGGTTACAAAATAGTTTCCCAGAAGTTTGAACAGTCCTTTGTAGTAGTACTACACTTAATCTACTTAACAACAATCCCTAATCAACTCTTGATATCATGTCACAATCATATAATGTTATTATCAATATAAACTAGATCAACCTTAAGAAGAGACTCTTAAATAATTTTTTCTCATACTGTTATAATTTGTAACCTATGTGCCCTGTTAGTTTAATAACGTAATGATACCGCCAATTAACGAGCAGTGAATTATCTATCGCATGAAGGACGCATAAAACCCGTACGAGGAGTCTAGATTACTTATCGGTCCTGCTTCCTGCCTAACCCAGCCATTTAAGTCCAGAACGCAAATCTCAGCGTCTGCGATATGAATCATTTATTTCAAGCATACTGAGTTTATATACCAACCAGACAGACCACATCATACCAATAAAATAGGAAACAACATTTGTACAAGATCTAACCAAAAGAGGTTGTGAATATGGGAGGTAGTAAGAATAGTATAATAACAGTTCATAAGTCTAAATAAGGCTCAGAATAAGAGGGACATGAATATGTATAGTTTAGTTGTTTAACAATTATACGATAAAAATATACGTTTAGTATTGGTCCATAAATGGATCCCAAAAGTTACCATTCATTATGCTTATAGGGATATAACAGATACTCACTGCGAAGGTATCATATTCTTTTTATGTCTGTTTTTCTCTTCTTTTTTTGTTTTTAGCCTCCCGATATTCCAAATGCTTTACCTAAACAAGTTGGAAATAAAACAGAATGTGCTTTATTAGGTTTTGTCAAATCTATTGGACGTAGCTATGAAGATATACGTACACAATGGAGTGAAGAACGTTTATATAAAGTGTACACATTTAATTCAATACGTAAATCCATGAGTACAGTTATTAAAGAATCAGATAATCCAATGTCATTTTTATTGTTTACTAAAGGTGCTTCAGAAATGGTTGTTAAATGGTAAGTAGTAAGTAGGTAATAATAATGTATATTATAACTTGAATATCTATTGCATAAGAGTTTAGGTTTTTTGCCGACTATTGATACTTAGAACCACATTAGTTTGCTTTATGTTGGTTTATGGACTATTTGAGTAGATGCCTCAATAACTCCCCATAGTTACCACTGTTAACATGTTTCTTTTTTCAATGCTAACTATCAGTGGAATCTGGAATGTACGCTTAATTTTTTTTGGTTTTGGGACGCTACATCAGAATGTACCACTGGTGTGATTTTCACATTAAGATTTGAACCTCAATATCCTTACCAACTGTGAATTTTAGCTGATGAGTCTTAAAGAAATAAACACGCAACCTATTTGTTTTGTTGCTAGTCATTATTGATAATCAATATTACTGTTACTCGAATTGATAAAAAAGTTAAAATGTATCTGTTTTTAATGACTAGATTCTTGAAGATCTGGGGTTAGATTTATGATAGGTCAATGAATGCTTAGTGCTGACGAGTCCCATACTAGAACGAAATCTATGTCCAGTGCTAAATGGTTTTCACTGAGTGTCTAGCTAACATCAGTATTCTATGATGTAAACTACAATATTTGAAAGAAAATAATTGACCCACGACATCTGGACAAAGGGCTTCAATTCAATAATTTGATGACAGTATGGTATAGGGAGAAGCTTAATACAACAGCGGCCGATTTCCAGCCAGTTCTTAGTCATTTAGAAAATAGCCTTTGGAATAAGATAGATTATGGAAAAAAAACTGTAATATTACAAAGCGTAAACAGATTTTATATCAATGACAAATATATGTATATATCTCCAGGTTACTCTGTGTGTAAAGCTAAAAATGAACAACTTATTAACTCGTCCATATTCTTGAACTCTTAAAAGGGTCCAAATAAATTTTTAGAAGTCCATATATTATTCCTAGTTGGAGTTAGGAGTTAAGGGTAAGGATTAATGATTTAGAGTTAAGATTTAGCAAAATAGTTCCTTAACTGTTGATTCATCCATTATGTGCAATATTAGTGTTAGGTCCCGATAAGCATAATGGATGGTAACTTTGGGACCCATTTATGGACCAATACTCTGCGTATATTTTTATCCTATAATTGTTATGTAACTGGACTATTCATATTCATGTCCCTCTTATAATGAGCTTTATTTTGACCTATGAACTATTTCGCAAGTTCATAAACGATAGATAGAATATAGCTAAGTAGATAACTCGTAAAGTATTAAGTCCGAATCTCGCAGTGAATATCAACTCTAGTATGCAAGTGCATCTATCTAGGGAACCCCAAATTGGATTAAACATGCTTCCTAGATTCCACTGCCAACTACAATCTATTTATTTCATCAGTCAGTTACAATGTAGGACTAGGCACATACATGCATCGGTCCAAGTTGTTACACCTCATTAGCACCGCAAGATTTCGCCTTCGCACCTTGGGTTTGTTGCTTTTAGTCTTACCGCTCTTCAACCGACCTGTCTGGCATGGAAGGACCTTGAGGAACGATTGTTACAGCCACTGTGGCACAGTTGCTTCATTACGATGGACAAGTCCGACAGCGATGCTACCTTCCCACAAGGTATGGTGGGGTTAGAAAAGGTCGACTCTAAAAATATACACCTCGCCTTAGCCCACGGATATCCGTCTCCGGCGGCAAGGTCCCAACAAGTACAGAGCTAACGCGGAAACTACTCACAAAAAGGTCGTGTGTGATCAGTTTCAGATAGTTTTCTTTCGGGCACTACGGTCACGCTCTCAGGTTACTGAGACCACCTCTAATCCAATTTCCTTTTCAGTTACCTCTAGAAGAACCCTTCCAGGGTGTGGGCGACCGGGAAGTGATAATCGGTCTCATACCTCTAACAGCAATCAAGACCACTATATAAAAATCCTTCTACTGTTCATCATACTCGATTGACCAAAAGATCAAATGTTAAGTTTTCTATTTCTAATTACTTCATCTTTATCTCATAATTACATATTCCATAATTTCTATTAAGTAAATCTTATTTCACGAGAATAATTCAACTTCTTTGTGAATTTACCAAAATATCAATGAATATAAAGGTCCTTAAAATGGAATGATTTCTTTTTTTTTCTCTTTTTCTTTTTTTTTAATGGATAAAATAAACATTTCATCTGTTTAATCACTCATTGGACACAAATGGGCACAAATGTATAAAATCAATTATTCCTATTTCCATTGCTTTCTTTGTACATTAGCACCTTCTCCATTTCTACATAACATACACACATCCACATCCACATACAAACATACATACATACATAGATACATACAGGACCTGAACACACAGAGAGGGAGAGACAGAAAATGCAATAAACTGGTTTGCATTGTATATATCCTTATTACAATTTCATAAATGTCACCCCTTATATCTAACAACAACATTCTTATGTAATTATAAATTACCTATTAAAAAAAAAGATTAAATCTTTTTCTTTTATGCCTCCAGTCTATTAAAATTGATTATTAAGTAGATAGTGCAATTTAGGTTTTTGTATCTTTACTATGGTAATCTATATATAAATTTATATTAAAAGGAAATTGACAGGAGACATTTCTGTTTTATTCTTGTTCTCTCTTGAAACGATAACTTCTTTGTTTGTTTCTTCTTCTTCTTCTTCTTCTTCTTCTTCATCGTCATCATCATCATCATCATCCATTTGCATCATCATTTTAAATTTCCTTTTTATACGATAGAAATGGATTGTTCTTTGATTATTTATAAATAAGTTAATGAATTTTTAGATTATCTTCTATATGTTCCTTTGGTTATCTGGTTTATTTTTACTGTTTACCAGTCTGTTGAAACTGGTAAATAGCCTCCAAATATCCTGGTACGGTTGAGAATGGGGAGAGTTCGCTCTTTCTCTCGAAATGCTCTCACATAGCCACGCGTATATAGCCTATGCCACGAAAATCCTACTCACTGCCTTCTCATTCCGCTGGTGTTGTTTGAGAAATTGAGAAGACGAAAAGCGAATGTCCGGCGCTTTAACCGGGTCGGTGGATATGTAGAGTCCACCTAGGGAGGTTGGAAAACCCTCATTCCAAACCAATTGTGTACATGGGTTCCAGTATCCCAAAGGAACAAATGGCGTATGAACCAATTATTGGTCACCGGCTACCATGAGACTGCATCTCCTTACGATGCTCCACTGTCTTGTGGATCAGACCCTCAGATCGAAGGTTCCGAGTGTGGCCCCCTAAGAAAACCACCTGTTTCGGTTTGGTCACTCGGTCAGTATCACAGCCCTTACACATATCAAATGAGATTTGTGTAATGCATATGTATTTGGTGCCTCCTTGTACCAATATCTATGTGTTAAAATAAAAAAATTTAAAAAAAATTAAAGTCTGTTGAAACCGAGTAACAATAGTTGGTAAACAAAAAACTCATTGGATGTCTATCATGTGGTTGTAATATTTGACCATGCACTATGAGACCTAAAGATCTTGAGTCCGATTCCTGGTGAGACCAGGGGTACCCACTGTTGAAGAGTCCTATATTAAGATGAAACAGTTGTCTGATCCTTCTTGATTTTCAATCGTACCCTAATGAACATCAAACCTGTAGGGAATACAACCAACGGATTAAAGCAGTCTCCACAAAGCCCCTTCAACTACTGTATTGAGTTTTTATTTGTTCTTAATATAGGGTTTCTCATTAGTGAAGATTAATGCATTCTCCCCTCTCTCTCAACTTTCTTAAAAACACATAGCTGGGATCGTGTCCTGTTTATTAAAATAGAACAAAACGCGCTCTAAATTTTGACGCTAGTCACAGTCCATCTATAGGTATCCACTTGCCCGTAGTTCTTATTTGTTTCTTAATATAATTGAGTTATCTATCTTACTGCCCTTAAAATAATTAACTTCTCATGTAACTTATTTTTTTTAAAACCCTTCAATCTATAAGTTGTTCTTGGATGATGGATGAACAAAATAAACCAAGACCATTCAGTCTACAAGATCAAGAACGTTTAACTGAAGCAGTGATTGAACCAATGGCAGGTGAAGGTCTTCGAACCATTGGCATAGCTTATAAAAAAATTACAATAGGTAAGTACTCTCATACCTCTTATGTGTGTGTGTGTGTTCCGATCTTTGGACACTTATGTTGTCTTTGTTCGTTAGCTTTTGGGAGAAGAAAATCCGAAAGAATGTCGAAATTAGAAAGTTTTAAGAAGAAAAAACTCATATTTTAAGAACGTCATCATATCTGTTATAATTTGGATTTTACCAAATTGATTTGCATATTTCCATTGACAACATAATAAATTATGTAATAGAATTATTCCAATCATTTAACAGAGATCTGAAATGAAAATTATTTGCCTCATTGAATCACTACCTAAAATGTATAATTTAACTACTTCCTATGAGTTTCTAGTTTTATCAGCTGATGAGTTTACTACAATCAATCAGTTGTAAGCAACATAGATTCTGGGATATACTCATCGGTTCAACTTGTTACATTACAAATTATCACACTAAGGCGAGATTATTACGACAAATACTAAAGTAATGAAAGTAGCGATAGTATTAGTAGTAGTAAGAAAGATTGTGGTGTATGCTACTTATGTTGGTAGATATAATTAGTATGTCACATCAATCAGAAGTGGATTGCCGGCGAGCGGAATATTGAGAAGAGATGTGAGAAAACTGAAAGCAATCAAAACAACAACAGGAATAAAGAACCTGCATGATTGTGATCAATTCTAAGACATGTCACTACATGCCTCCATACATTGACTACAATAATTACGCGGACACCCCCAAATGCTCCCGGTATGGTGAAGGGTGGGGAGAGTCCGCTCTTCTTCTCGAAATGCTCTCACGTGGCCACGCGTATACAGCCACTAACAGGGAAGTCCTGCTCATTGCCTTCTCGCAGCTGGGGTATTGTTTACGAAATTGAGAGGACTAAAAGTGAATATCCGGAGCTTTAACGAAGGCGGTGGATATGGAGGATCTACCTACGGTAGTTGGAAAACCCTCATTCCAAATTAATGATGCATATGGGCTCCAGGATCCCGAAGGAACATATGGCATATGAACGTGTGCTTGGTCACCGGCGACCATGAGACTGCATCTTCTGACGTTGCTCCACTACTTTGTGGATTTGACCTTTAGATGAAAGACTCGAGTAGTGGCACCCTGCTTCGGTTTGAGCACCCAGGTAGTATTCTAGCCCTTACACAAGTCGAATGATTTATGTAGCTCATATATATTTGGTGCCTCCTTGTACCATTGTTTATTTGCTTAAATAAGTAAATAACCAAGTAATCTTCATCTGCCTACATGGCTTTTAATTGTTTTCTTTCCTCGTTCATTGTTATATATTTCTTGTTAGCATTGACTTTTGTTTAATTATATTTTTCATATATATTGAATGCAGCTACAAATTCAAAAAGTCCGAATGATATGATTGTACAAAGTGAACCGAATTGGGATGATGAAGAACATTTATTAGAAGGTCTTACTTTATTAGGTATTATTGGAATTGAAGATCCAGTTAGACCAGAAGTACCAGCTGCTATACGTCAATGTCAAAAAGCCGGTATCACTGTACGTATGGTAACTGGTGATAATGTAAATACAGCACGATCAATTGCAATGAAATGTGGTATTATACAACCAGGTGAAAATTTTCTTGTTATTGAAGGTAAAGAATTTAATCGACGTATTCGTGACAAAGCAACTGGTAAAGTTAGACAAGATTTATTTGATCAAGTATGGATTAATTTAAGAGTATTGGCTAGATCTTCACCTCAGGTAAGTTTTTTTTCTTTAGTGTGTGTGTGTTACATAGAAATTTGTTGATTTATGGCTATGAAACACATCCCTTTAATGTAGAAGATATTCCTAGGTTACTAGTATTCGGTCGAAGGGATATCCGAAGTATTACTCGTATATTTTGGAACCATCGAGTTAGAAATTCTGAGGTTAGACGCAGATTACTAGATATGTATGGTTAATTGATCGACGAGTTGGTGAATCCTTATTAACTGAGATGATTAATAAATGTATTACATTTGCTTATCCACCTACTACCTTGACATCCAATCATGACTGTCATAGAGTTGGTTGGAAAAAGAGAGCGCTTCAATCAAACCATGGCATCAGTCTATGAAGACATTAACCATTGGACTGAATCATGTAGGTAGTTGTAGATTGCTTGTCCATGGTTCTGATGATTAACATAACCAATAGTTAGAGACCTTAAGTGATATTTCTCAAAATCATTCACAATAGTTCACATGCATTCACTCTTTGTCTTCACAACCATCTGAATTCTTTATGAATGATTTTCGTTTTATTTTACTAATCCATATTTCCTCTGTGAATCGTATCTTCAATGATTAATCATTTCTATTAACACGGATACTCTTATTAACTCTATTATTCTGGAATTCGCCATGGCAACTGGTAACTTGAACTGATGTATCCATATTTCAAGTTCTACTCTTATTAACTCTACTATTCTGAGATTCCCCTTTACAATTTCATATTATTGTATTAATGTGGTATGGCAACTTAAACTTATGTATATACGTTCCAGGTTTTACATCGCGTTCAACTGACTGACTGACGAATGAAGTGAATGTTGTCTTTTGATGTCACCTTCTATAATGGCTGATGATGTTGCTCAGGGTGTTGATAAAATATTCGTAACTATGGATAACCTATCATAGAGAGAATCCAGTAACATTATAATTGACATCTTACTGATAGAAATAAATTATTTTAATTGTTCAATTATAATAATATCTTAAATATTTTTTGATTGAGATCATGAACCGATTGATGTTAGACCACCATTGAAAACCTGAAAGCACTGGACGGCTGTTTCGCCCTATTGGTGGAACTCCTCAGTGGCAGTGCTCATCCACAATCCCACTCGTGGGGTTCGAACCCAGGGCCTTCAGTCTCACGCGTAAACGCTTAATCTACTGGACCACTGAGCCGGCATCCAATGGTGTTAATGTCCAACTTCAACCAATCCACGAAATTCCGTGACCATCTTCTATTATACTGAGGTAAATACCTGTCTCTACCCGACACGGATTAGCTCCACTGGTCACAGCTTCTTACTAGAACTCCGAGAATTACCTCTCAAAACTAGTCACTAGTGAGCACTTGGTAATTATCGGTTTGGAGTTGTGGAATTTTTTCCGATGTTTGTTTCTTTAATAATACTTTTTTTCACGAATGTAATATGTTGGTAGTAGCGATGAGATTTCAATCCTGATATGTTTGTTATCGGTTGATACAACTAACACAGCTGTTTCTCTGTGTGTGTGTGTGTGTTTGTGTTTGTCTCTATGTCCCAACAAGTATTCATAAATCAGTTAATCATATTTCAGTATGACAGTTTGTTATTTATTGAATTAATTACAAAAATATGGTAATATTTCTGTCCCTTAAAGACAAAACTGTATCACTGATAGGTTCTGTTAAGTTTGATTCTTATAGAAATGTGAAAATATAAGATAAAACATGAAGGACTTACTTATTTACCTTAAGTTGTGTCTTCATTCACAAGAAAAGCATAGATAACTATACATCTCCAATGTATGTATGTATGTATGTATGTTTGTATGTGTGTTGTATCTGTATTATCTCTAGCTGCCTGTCAAGAGAATACAAGTTGTACATGTTGATTAAACTAAAAATGGATCTAAATATGGTTCCTAGTAATGAAACAAAGTTTATTCAACGTTAGCAAAATAATAAACACATTAGTAACTAATATCATCATCGTCATCAATATTCTCAAAGACAGACATTATATTACCACTTAATGAATTGAACATTTGGAAAAATGTAACAGAAAAGGAATTCTATGCAGTTTATGTGTGAATTAGAAAATTCAGTTGATCTGATTAAACTAACTATTCTAATCTAATTTGTAATGGTGTTTTTTGTTGTTGTTTGGATTATCATCCCTTTATTGATATTTTGACTTAATTTTGATTATTATCAGAAGGGGTTAGACATTAACACCGTTGTATACCAGCTCAGTGGTCTAATGGTTAAGTGCTCGCGCGTGAAACCAGTAGGTCCTGGGTTCGAATCCCGTGGGGTGCGGGATCGTGGATGCGCACTGCTGAGTAGTTCCATACTTGGACGAAACGGCCGTCCAGTGCTTCCAGGTTTTCAATGATGGTCTAGCTTCAACTGACTCATGATTACAATCTGTGAAAAAATTGATTTTGATTAGTCCTAATTAGCGTGTGTACATCTTGTGCCAATTGTTTTATCATAAGTTCATATAGAACAAATGTTACTATCTGAATTCAGTAGCTAAGTAAACAATTCGTTAAATGTTTGAAACGGAAGGTACTATGTTTGAATCCCAGAGTGAATATCAACTCTACAGGTACATCGAGTTGACATGTCTTAAATAGAATAAGTCGCGTGTCCTAGATTCCAATGCTAATCACAATCCATTTATTCTATATTAAATAATTATTCACTATTTTTATTGTGGAAATTAATGGTAACCCTTTCTCTTTCTCATTCACTCTCACATATACATTTCTCCTTCGTCTTCTTCTTTTTCTTCGGTTATCTGCCTATTTTTCCTTGTTTGTTTATCATTGACAGAAATTGTCACCTTAAATTATTGATTATTAAGTCAATTATAACTACACGAGTATGTGTTTGTAATACACGAGGATACGATAATAAATATGGTCTCGTAGGGAACATCTAACCATTAGGAACACTGAGTCAATGTTTAATGATACAACATTTACTTCAATGAATTCTCAACATAACTGAATGATTATCTAATAACTGAAATCCATCTATAATGAATACAATCTTTAAAATAAACCAATATTTTTCGATTGAGATCATAAACTGATTGATGTTAGACCACCATTGAAACCTGGAAGCACTGGACGGCCGTTTCATCCTATTGTGGGACTTCTCAGCAGTGCGCATCCACAATCGGAGTTCTAGTGAGAAGCCAGGACCAGTGGAGCTAATCCGTGTCGAGTAGAGATAGGTATCTACCTCAGTACGATAGAAGATGGTCACGGAATTTTGTGGATTGGTAGAAGTTAGACATTAACACCGTTGGATGCCAACTCAATGGTCTAAAGGTTAAGCGTTCGTGCGCGAGATCGAAGGCCCTGTGTTCGAATCCCATGAGTGGGATCGTGGAGGAGTTCCACAATAGGACGAAACGGCCGTTCAATGCCTCCAGGTTTTCCATGATGATCTAACTTCAATTGACTGATAATCTCAACTATTAAAATTACTGTAATTCAATTGTTTAAGCAAAATGTAAAACGTGAAACATATTTCAGTCAATTACTGCTAACATGATAATTTCATCTCCATATTGTGTATTTATGTGTTAAATATGAGGATTACCTATCCACACATATAAACACATCTATGTATTACATACTTATTATCATCATCATAAGTTTACTTATCATTACGATCCGTTCTGAAAATTAGATCAAAAAATTTTTTTCTCAATAACATCAACTCAACGAACTAATATTTACACTGTAATACAACATTGTATTATTTACATAGTTAGATTATTATACAACAGTTGAATAGACGAATATACAATGTGTACTACTACTACTACTTACCGTTTATTAGTATTATTATTATAACTATTACCAATACTACTACTAACCGTTGTGATTAGTGATAATCATGATAAGTAAGTAAATGTAACTGATTAATAAAAATGGATACAATGATTAACATTAGTCTAATTTTAAGACATAAGAATTTCGATTTCGAAAAGAAGTACTCAACTCATTATTTCAATCATTCATTTACATTCTACTGAAATCAGTAGTATCGTGTATATGTGTATATAGATGGGTTTATATTTGTACATATGTATTAGTGTGATTGTTGTATAAAATAAACATTTAATTGGTAACTAAAATTAACAGGGTGGATAAAAATGTACACTGGTATTTTTTACTTTGTTCTTGTTAAGTGTACACACTTTATTTAGAATATAAATTTTCAATATGAATGAATTGTATTCATTCTATTCATCAATAACATTGAATCAATATGGATACATCAGTTCAAGTTACCAGTTGTCAAGGCGAATTCCAGAATAGTAGAATTAATAAGAGTATTCGTGTTAACAGAAATGATTAATCATTGAAGATACAATTCAAGGAGGAAATATGGATTAGTAGAATAAAACGAAAATCATTAATAAAGAATTCAGATAGTTTTGAAGACAAAGAGTGAATGCATGTGAGCTATTGTGAATGATTTTGAAAAATATCACATGAGACTGATCAATTGCAGTCTTAAATAACAATGGGAACATACAGGTAAAACAACACCCAAGTGAATTTAAACTTCACCCCATTGCACAAGCAGGTGACTATCAGGACTCAGTAGCTAAGTGGTTAACGCGATGGTGTTTGAGGCGAACGGTATTGGGTTCGAGTCCCGGAGTGAACATCAACTCTGTGATGCAGGCACATCCAGCTGACGAGTCCCAAATAGGACGAAACGCGTGTCAAACTGGATTCCACTGCCAGCCACTATCCATCTTTGCTTAAAACGCTTGTGACTTAAGACTATATCGAGGCAATCCACACATGATGCACATATGTCAACATGAGACTGATCAATTGCAGTTCTAAATAACAATGGGAAGATACAAGTAAAACAACATCAAGTGAATTTAATATCACTTAAAGTTTCCAACCGCGTGGTTATGTGAATCATGTGAACCAAAAACAAGTAATCTACATCTACGTACATGATTCATTCCAATGGTTAATGTCTTCATTGAACTGATGTATTTTTTCTAGTTAACCAAAACTGGGATATAATTGACTTCTTTGATTCCCACTTAGTAGTTACTACTGCTACATAATGGCAATACACCAATTATAATATCTTCCATAATATAATTACAAGAAGAAAGAATAAAATGGTAGATCCTATTTCCAGAAGTATTTGAAGTTTCAGAATCATAACGAACTAAAGACTGTCGATCTCGTGCGCGAACGCTTAACTGAGCTTGGATCCAACTGTGTTAATGTCTAACTTCAGTCAATCCGCGACCATCTCCCATTGTCTTTGGTGGGTAGCTCCCCACACACCTGATATTGTTTAGCTTGGCTGACCATTTGCATGTCTGTTAGTGATGTGAGGTATGAATAAGACTAAATATGTGTATATTTAGATAAATGGTCCATTTTGGATCGACATTCATGTCTTCCTTTCTGCTAAGTTCAGTGAGGTTTATAAATATGTAAACAGCTGCAACCAATTACCTTTCTTTATGATTGGAAAAAACATTTCTGAATTATTCTGATATTATTACTACTTAAGCTTACTTTTTATGCATCCACTATTGACGCTTGTTTATTCGTTGAGTTAATATTGTTATATTATTATTATGATTATCAGTAACTATGATTTCACCACCTGCCCCCTTTCACCATGATTAGTCACTCAAGATACAAACCAAACTTAGAGATTACTATATATTTTGCGTTATTCCTTTTCATTCTGTGCTTTTCTGTCTCGTTTCGAGCATTGAAATCAATTTTAAAGCTTGTGAGGAGACCTTAGTTCGTAATCATACTACTATTCGTAGTGATAAACTGGTTTACACTTGGTTGATAAGATGTTTTCAAATAAGGCTGATATGGAACGATTGAACGTGATTAACATGAGATCATCCTTCACCTAAGTTTTTTGCTAGTTGGCACTCATCATCAAGGTATATCTGTAATTTCTAAGGAACTGACACCCAGTGTGAAACTTGAACTTGTGTAACTTAACTTCTCAGTCTGAAACGTTATGAATGGGGTTATTCGAGCCATAGATCAAACCAATGATGATAGATTTATCTGGATCCTACTAATCATTCGGTTGTTCATACTTTGTTTAACATTAAGTTATTGTATTCAGACGAAGTTATCTGTTATGAATACATTTGAGTTTATTTCTAATCACTTGTTATTAATAAAAGAGATTTAAATTTCACATAAATATATATATATATTTCTTTAATAGGATAAATACACATTAGTCAGTGGGATAATTAACAGTCGTGCAGCACCGTCACGTCAAGTAGTCGCTGTCACTGGTGATGGTACAAATGATGGTCCAGCGTTGAAACGTGCAGATGTTGGTTTTGCAATGGGTATAGCTGGTACAGATGTAGCAAAAGAAGCATCTGATATTATATTGACAGATGATAATTTTTCAAGTATTGTTAAAGCTGTTATGTGGGGTCGTAATGTATATGATTCAATTACAAAGTTTTTACAATTTCAATTAACTGTAAATTGTGTGGCGATTATTGTTGCATTCGCTGGAGCATGCTTTTTAGATGTAAGTTAAAGTTATGTCAGGAAATTTGACACAGGACATCTTGTCTTGCACATAAATTTTTAAACTACAAATCACTAGTTTAGCATTTAATCCTATACGTATTTAACATGAATCAATTCACAATATTTCATAACCTTCCATTGTCTGCGATGGATAACTGTCTCATATCTGACATGGTTGAATTCCACTGGTCATGAATTCTCACCAGAACTCCAAGAATTGGATCTTAAGGCAGAGTTGTGAATGAACACTGCTAAATAGTCTCATCCTGGAAAGAAATAGCTATTCAATACCTCTTGGTTTCTACTAATATTCAATCTAAGATCAGTTTGTGATTTGAATTACGAAAATTCTACAATCTTCACGAAACCTCCTACAAATTATACTAAGATTATAGTTGGACATTTAATATTAGTACTACTTATTCAGGGAAGTCCTACTCACTACTTTCTCGTAGCGGGGGTGCTTTTTACTAAATTGAGAGGACGAAAAGCGAATATCCAGTGCTTTAACCGGGTTTTCGGACATGGAGAGTCCTCCTACGGGAGTTGGAAAACCCTAATTCCAAACCAATGGTGCACATGAGATTTGTGTGGCGCATATGTATTTGGTGCCTCCTTGTACCAATATCTATGTGTTAAAATTAAAATAAATAAATAGCCATTTCAAAACGATCATGTTTCATAGACAAGAAATATAAACAATCTGTTTTCTTCCATTTAATATCAGTCTAATTCATTGTTTATATAGCTTAAGTAAATAATGTAAAGTATAAAAGTAAATCAATTATTCACTTGGTATTGTTTGGCTTGTATCTTCCCATTGAGGTTTAAGACTGCTGATGAGTCCCAAATAGGACGAAACACGCGTCCTGGATTCCACTGCTAGCCACTATCCATCATTGCTTGTAAATCAATTATGTTGTATTGCTGCATAATCTAATTTTCTCTTAGATTCTGTCTTGTTACTTTAATGAAACATTTGATTTTCTTCTTCATATGTTGTAAACACACTTCGATGAATTACTACTAGGTGGTAATGTATTGACTGGATTGTTTTTATTTAATTTTCCCGTTTTACATTTAATTCCTATTTCATTGATTGATTTCAAGTCAATTAGTGGAATGATTTCAATTAAGCTGAATAGTTCTTTCATATTGTACATATGTATTAGAAATCTTATTGTTAATCCTATAACTAAGATAATATTGAAGATTTTGATTGAGATCATGAACCGATTGATTTTAGACCACCATTAAAATCCTGGAAGCACTGGTTGGCCGTCTCGTCCTATGGTGGAACTCCTCAGCAGTGCGCACCCACGATCCCGCTCGCGGGATTCGAACCCAGGGCCTTCAGTCTCGTGCAATTTCGTGGATTAGCTGGGATTAGACATTAACACCATTGGATGCCGGTTCAGTGTTCCAGTAGGTTAAGCGTTCGCGCGCATGACCGAGGGCCCTGGGTTCGAATCCCGCGGCGTGCGCACTGCTGAAGAGTTCCACAATAGGACGAAACGGCATTCCAGTGCTTCCAGATTTTCAATGATGGTCTAACATCAATCGGTTCATGATCTCAATCAAAAACGTAACAATCTCCACAACCACTACAGTGATAATATTAAAGAGCATATTAGTTGTTTTACATAGAATAATTTAATCTTGTGTAGTTCTAGGATTCATTGAAGTTCTGCTATTGTACATACCATATAACGTATTCATGTAAAGTGATGATAACAACTAATGACGATTTCAGTCAACATTTTTCTGATCTAATTACAAATTGGTTTCGTTTATAGAAATATTCATCAATAATTCGAATGTTTCGTCCAGCAAACTTGTCTTGACGAAATGTTCTAGTAAATTTTTAATTATATTCATAATAGAATAATTAAATTCGATGATGTTTGGTGTGTACCAATGTGGTATATGCTACTTATGTTTGTTGATATAAATAGTACGTCACACCAATCGGAAGTAAAAAACCTAGAAGCAGAAGGTTAAGAAGATCAAGTTGAAGAGAATAGAAGGGAACATAGATTAGAATTGTTGACTGGAAGAATCATACAGAATGTGAAGTACAAATGATGGGAATTTGCAAATGAAGTATTCGTGCAATTAGTTCCGTTTATGAATTTAAATAAAGCCAGAACAAATATTGATTCTTCTGATAAATTCATGGTTTCATCGCTCTTCACAAATATCCCCTTGGAAGAAACGGCAGAGATCATACGTGAATATCCTGAACTTCTGCCTTTACTAATCCATGAATTTAAACAGCTCCTGTTTTTGTGTACAAAAAACAGTTTAAATTCAAAAATGTGTTGTACCGTCGAATTGTTGGAGTAGCCCTTTAGGTCCAATTCTGGCCGACATATTTCTGGGAAACCTGGAACAGAAAAAGCTTAAGCACGTAATCGATGGTACCACACTCTATTGTAGATACATTGATGACACATTTCTTGTCTGCACCAATCGCAAGCACTCCATGAACCTACTCAGTCTGTTTAATAAAACACATAAGGATATAAAATTTACTATGGAAATATGAAGTTGAAGATAAATTCCATTTCCTAGATATTGGAATCAGACGAACATCAGTTGACTTTCTGCATCAATATTTGTTCTGGCTTTATTGAAATGAAGTATTCAGTGTATGATTCTTATATTTTAATAACGGATTCTGTAATTTCGTATTTAAATACAATCGATTATCTCTACCTGTGTTCTCGTTCACAACAATATTACTGAATAAATTTTTAATCAGAGAAATTCATGCTCTAGAACGATCGATAAAATTAATGTCTGTACAACAATTCGAATTTATTAGTTTACGCTAGATGATCAGATTCAAGCTGAATGGAACTTTGGTGATGGGACACTTTCTTTTCTGAGAAATTACTTTGAGAAGATAGATTCTGATAGAAAAGATTTATATTTTGGATGGATGACTGAAATGACCTCAAAGCTGTTTGATATTTTTCTACTTGTTGGATACATCGAACTTATTTCAATATTTTTAACAGACTACTGGGCGATCTTAATCCTAAGCCACTAGAAAACATCCGATATTCTTTGTTTTGTCTCCATCCAAGATTTCAACGTTTACTCAGAAGGTTTTGCGCTGGCCACTGTCTAATTGCATTGAAATAGGCGAGAGTATCTAGTGTCGTTCAGAAATCCCTTTGATATTCATACACATGAAGATGAAGAATGCAACCACTTAGGGTTAGCGTAGAGTATAGGGCCGAACCAATTGAGGTGAGACTATAATTTTTGGACGACATTTGAGCGACTCCAAAGTGACCTTGAAGGTGTCCACCTACTAACTAGGATTAAATGTGAGCTATAAAGCAATGTGAAGAATTAGAATTATGATTTACAGTTGATGGTTAGGGTTAGGAATTAGATTTGTGGTTTTCATCACAAACTGTCATCAACTATAATGCCGAAACAATATTCGACCAAATGGATGAATGGTTTTCGCCCCAAGACCTGTTATCTTAAATCTGGTTGGTCTCGCCACACTTCTTTCCTCAATTGTTCCGTTGTTTTGTTTAATTCTATTTTTTCAATCTATTATACTGATTCGTTTACTGTATATTTTTTGTTCTTATTCCCCTACCCCATTTCCCCTCCCTCTTCCAATAAAATACTTGTAATCATTTGTAGGATAGTCCATTGAAAGCTATACAAATGTTATGGGTCAATTTAATTATGGATACATTGGCTAGTTTAGCATTGGCTACAGAACAACCATCAGTGGAATTATTAGATCGTGCACCATATGGACGTACTCAACCATTGATCAGTAGACAAATGGCTAAAAATATCTTAGGTCATTCTTTATATCAATTGGGTGTTATATTTTTCTTATTATTTTATGGTAAGTCAATTTGATTGGTTGAAAATAAATACATATTATGTCCTTGAATCATGTGATACTATTGGTTGATAAAACTTGAAAGTCTGGTCTATTATTGATATACCGATGTGATCAGCTGATTTTTTGTTGTTGTCAACCCACGTTGACACTTCTAACTAGGCTAAGAAACAATATTAAACGAGTTTGGACACATGTTTTTATATATCCCGATGGAAATTCTTAAATTCACTTTAGTATTTATAAGTTTATATCTTGTTGATATCAAAGGCCTTCAGCATATGTACTTCCTGAGCTAATTACCTTCAATTGTTCATATTTTCTTTTAAATAACTATTCATGGTAGTGCATAGTTACATGTTTAACAATTAGACACTTTATAACTGAGACTTATACGTCATCATCATATTGTCATTGCACATAGTCAAATGTGTTAAGTGGTGAACATGGAAGCACTAGATGACCGTTTTTTCCTAGTATAGAACTACTCATTATTGCGCATCTACGACCTCATAGGAGAGAGTCGAATTCAATACCTTCGATCTCGTGCGCGAACGCTTAATGAGACGGCCATTCAACGCTTTCATGTCTTCATCGGTGATCTAACTTAGATGAGTTCATGATTTTAATGAACTTCAAATTCAACAGCCTTCTCAGTTTTAACAAGTTTTTCTAATCTCGAATTATAAAGAGTTTATTTGAAGGATAACAGTTGTATCCTTTTTTGTTAAAGCTATGACCAAACTAAAACATATCATTAGTTCATGAAATCATTAACTGTTAGTTTGAGACTGTTGGGATATTCAGGAAAATATCCCAAAAATTATCCTGTTAAGCCTAATGCTATCCTTGGACATGAAATAGTATCATCTTATTGGTCAATATTTATTTAACGTGTTATTTTCCTGTTGGCCAATATTGTACAATGTTATCTTCTATTTTATGGTACGTTGTGGACTGCTTGACTAGTATATAAACAAAGTATGTTTGAAATATAATGATTCATATATCCGAGGCTGTGACTTGCGTTCTGGACTCAACTGGCTGGGCTAGACAGGGAAGCGAGACCAATCAGAACCCTAGGTCGTTCTACGTGTTTGCGCGTCTTTGGTCCGATCAATAATTCGCTACCCTTAATCCGCAGCATTATTTTTCACGTTATAACAGAGACATATTGGCTGATGTAAATTAACTTGCTTGCTGTCCTCGCAACTATCATAAACAATTTTCAGAGTTGTTAGGTGACACTGCTGAAAATCGATCATAATTACACAAACATCTTCCTTTAAATATTAAACTTTAAAATTATCTTGTACTTCTTATTCTATTAACTCATTATATCTTCTCGAATCTTATTATCTACGTCAAATATCTCCTACTTCTACTGCTAACTACTACCTACCTACCTAACGATAGTAATAATGGTAATAATCTGGCATTTATCTTGATATGGTGATTTATAGTATGATAAACTTGAACCGATACACATATACACCAGATTCTACGTTACTTTTTAAGTGATCAATTCTTTCTTAATAAATAAAATTATATCTTAGTCTAATCATTTCCCCATCCAATTTTTGTTATTCTCTCTCTCTTTCTCTCTCTCTCTTTTCCTTTAGTTCAATTAATAATGGAAGTCGATAATGTATCGGGGATAACAGTACATGAACCAACACAACATTATACTATAATATTTAATACTTTAGTATTAATGACATTATTTAATGAATTTAATGCAAGAAAAATTCATGGACAACGTAATGTATTTAGTGGTTTACATAGAAATCCATTATTTATTATAATTTGGTTTGTAACATTTTTATTACAAGCATTAATTATACAATTTGGTTCATATGCATTCAGTACAAAAGCATTAGAATTAGATCAATGGGCTTGGTGTTTATTCTTTGGTGTTGGTGAACTTGTCTGGGGTCAGGTATGTGTTTAGTTTAATCAACAATACTAATAATGACCATTATTATTATTATTAATGGTGTTGATGCAATTACTTTTTTGTCAGCTCGCTGTTGCTTTTCGTCTACCGAAAACCCCTTCCTCAGTCAGTCAGTAACAATGTAGAACTTCGTGCGTACGTATACCAGTTCGAGTTGCCATACCACATTAGCACAGAGATGCAGTTGTCGATTCACATCCCATAATGGTAGAGGTAGAAAGAGTATAAGCAGTAACCGGAAAGATTAGGGCTTGAAGATGTCATTCAAGGAGTATAATCCAGTGAAATAAACTTGGACAGAGAAAAAAAGGGACAAGAATAATTAAGAATATTAGAATTTGGGAGAACAAGAAGAGTGGATGCACCTGAGCCATTGCAAATGATTTTGAGCCATGTCATTCAATATCTCTAACTATCGGTTGCTATCATCTCGCGGATCCAAACCAGTTAGTCTACATCTACTAACATGGCTCAGTTCATGTTTATTCGCTAGTTGACACTCACCATCATGAAGAAGTGAAGAACTAATCCTTCATCCTGTGTGATCCTAACTAGAATCAGTGTCACTTAGCTTAAGGGCTTGAGGTACTACCAATCAACTATCTGTTCCCTCGATTGACCTGCTGCAGGACTGAAATAGTCACGTAATAGTGATCAGTGACATGTTTATTTAGTCCTTAATGGTTGATCCAATATCCTATTGATCAAGTTCTTGTTGGCAACAAGGTTGCGTTGTAAACTATATCATTATCAGCCTCAACTATAAACAGGTTAAATTTTAAGAACTAGAATAGTTCAATGCACATTCGAGTGTAACCATTGAAAACTTGGAGGAATAAATAAGAAATGTGTTTAACAAATTACTCTAAGTTCATAACGTAATAATGGAAGAGCCTAAAGTTTTAGAAATTGTGAGAATGTGAACATATTTCCAACTGATGAGTACAGACATCAATCTAAGGCTGATAATCCATCTATGAATGATAATGTATAACAATTGAAATGTATTCAATCAAAACACTTGATAACCACATTTAGGATCTGAAACAAACTTGTCAAAACACAAACAAACATTAAGAAAAAATCAATAACAAATGAAATGGAATAGGTTTTTTCTCCCTTAGTTTTATGACAAATCAAAATGAAACAGATCAACTATCGCTTTGCAAACAATTCTTCCAATCCCTGGAACCCTCAAATATAACCTTTTTGATAGTGTAGTCTGTTTTTATTACAAGTTGTTATTAATCGTAACTCACATACAGAGAGAGACACAGCGGAAGAATCTTCGTCATTACTACAAAACTACACTCAACTGTAATATCTAATAGTTAATGAAAATGAATGATTATGTGTACACAATCATCATTATGTTGTAATAGTAGCCTTATTATTACTTACTAACACAGTATTTTTATCCTTAAAGCTCTTCCTATAAGACATATTGGAAAGATCCAGAAAATCCCTCGAAAAAAGCCCAAGAGAGCCTTGAAAATGCTAGAGAACATTTTATCCAATCATCACTCAACAGAAGTTTCTCGGACACATCTAGAAAGTGAAGAATTACGTGTCACATTTCTAATTGGATGATTACCTATACTGCTACTATGTTTAGTGTAGGGTCCCAGAACTTTTCAGAAACCTAATCCTATCTGAAATGTTATAAATACCCTAAATTTTCTGTACATAAACGGAACCTTGGAGTAAGGCATTCTTTTCATATTTAGCACTTTTTCTCGTGTTCAACTTGTCGTGTAGATCTAGCCTGGATTTATTACAATAGCTTAGGAAACCGATTAAAGCTTTCTGTCAGAAGGTTTATCAACATACTAATTCCTAAAAAGAAAAGGGGGTGCATGTACTGTTGAATTTTTAAAACATTCACTCTTTTACCGAGAACATAGTAGCCAGAGCACTCAGCTGTAAACCACTGTAATGTAGACTCGAATCTTATTCTTACGTATTCCAATCTTCTTTTACATCAAAACACGAATCGAAATTCATTACACGAACCTAAGAACATAGGACTTTGAATTTGTGGTTTGTATAACTTATTTTGCCCAATCGGTGGGTTTTTTTTACTATTGCTTACATTTTGTCTTATACACATACATAATTCTTTAATCCAATGGGGTTGGGATATTATGGATTAATCATGTGTTGTAATAATATCAGTCAAGCTTTGCTTGACACTCTTATTCATGTATCATATACAGAAAACTACTATATCGAAATTAATTTGTATAGTTACAATCTAAATTCAGTATCATGTTAATGAGGTATGGCTACTTGGACCGATACACATATGTGCCTGGTCCTACGTTATAGCTGACTGACTGACTGAAATTCAATATCAAAAATGATTACATAAAATCGATTATTATCAATAGTGGGAGCCCTAATGAAGTCCAATAAATGTCTAGTGTTCTCCATTTACATCTTGATGCACTTCAAGGCCAATTATTGTTTTCTTAAGGTATTGATATTGACAGTGGTGTAATGATAAGACTATGGTTTTATAGCTGTTTTCGTCTTAGTTGATTATTGCATTGACATCTATATAATTATATTTCCTATAACTACTCAAAATATTGAATAGATCAATTTTTCCGCCTTATTCCCTATCTGTTATCTACCATTTACATAATATCATAGGTTGTTAATACAGTACCGAATGCAATTATACCAAAATGTAAATGTCGTAAACGTAAACGTCCTACAGTTGTCGGTGTTAATGAAAATGCAGCTGATGAATACATTAAAGATGCGATTGAAGTCGGTGAAGCTGATGAAGAAGAAGATGAAATCTCTCCATTATCACTAGGTGGTGCTAATATGGGAATTGGTGGACGTATTTTATGGATTCGTGGTGTAAATCGTATTCAAACACAGGTAAGTCCATGTGTGAGAGATGATGGTGTGTTGAGGGATTTACGAGTTGTTTTTTTTAATCTAGATCTCTATATTTGTCGTTATAGTTTTCAACAAAAAAAATAACAATTTTTTCCCTAAGAAAATTTTCACTTTGATAAAAGCAATACCACTATTGACTATTAGGTCAAAATTTAAATTTTCCCCTCTTTTGCACTTCACATACCTTAACTAAGAGCAACTAGATGATATCACTAATTCCCTACTTCTAGAAAGATGTAATACAATGTGTGTTATGCACAGAACTATTTACTTGACAACTAAGTTATGACCCTTATTATTAACTGTTACATTTGGTTTAACCGATTATGTCATCGTAATAGTTTGTGTATTCCAAATTGATAATGATTAATAAATGATAGAGTTAACAATAGTCTTAAAGAAACCTATGCTATTATTGTTTTTCTTTATATAATGAAGTAGTGTTAGTACCTTTGATGTATCATCATCAAACTTAACAAACGGATGCATATTGTATGTTTCTCATAAACAATTGCATAGATTATTTATTATTATCATCAGCTTTATTCAATATCATATACTTTTGGTACAATATAGAATTCTCAGTAACAAGTTTCCGTTTCTTACTTCTTGATCGATTCTAACAATAACATATTGAATGATCGTCAGTTAAATGTTAACAGTTTAGAAGTCAACATCCGAATAATATTCATTCTTTTCAATGGATATTGTCAACAACCACAATGTCTCTGATTGGACCTTTTGTAAGTTGTACAACGAAAGGTTGTACACTTTTCACAAACTCACTTGAATAAGTTATACGATTCATAGACATAATAATGTATTAAAACAAGGATAGATAACTTGTTGAAATATCTAGATGGCAGGAACAGGTAGTTCAGATATTCAAATAGGCCTGGTAGGTTTGATAGGAGTAAAGAAACTTATGTAGTGATATTTATTTATATTATATTTCGGTTTCTTTCAATTTATATGTAGCAAGTTATTCACTACTAGTAGTAGTAATCAAATACATAGATGAATGCACTCAACTCTGAGTTATACTTCGAGTGTTGAAGACTAGTGATACCATCCCATTGGTTAGACTGAACTAAGTCAAATAGTTAATTATTGTCAATATATACAACTTACTGTTCGAAAATGTTGATTTCACATAATTTTCCCATCACATTGTTTTGTTTTTGATTGAGATCATGAATCGATTGATGTTAGACCACCATTTAAAACCTGAAAGCATTAGACGACCATTTCGTTCAAGTATGAGACTCCTCAGCAGTACGCATCCCTGATTATGCCCGCGGGACTCGAACCAAGGACCTTCGGTTTCACGCACGAACACTTAACCTCAATGAGCCGGTATCCAACGGTGTTAATCTCTAGCCTCATCCAATCCACGAAATTGCGTGAGCATCTTCCATTATATTGAGGTACATACCTGTCTCCACTGATCACGGCTTCTCACTAGAACTCCGAGAATTCTCTCACGAAGCTAGTCACTAGTGAGCACATGGTAATTACCAGTATAGGGGTTGTGGAGATTATTAAGTTTTTGATTGAGTCGATGTACCGATTGATGACAGACCACCATTGAAAACGTGGAAGCACTGGATGGCCTTTTTTTAAAAAGTTTTCTCACTGAATTTATAGTCGAATATGTAATATATTAAAATTTAAAAAATGCTTTCCTAATGATACTATTTATTATGTAATAGTAGTCTATTATCATATAATAGGTTTTAACAAATTTTCTAATATCCGCGTATTTTCAGTTTATTCAAATGACTTTATCATGTTTAGCGCTAATGATAACCTTATAATCGTGGATGGAAATGAGAATCACGATATCTGTGGTATTAGTAATAAATTTAGGCAGATTCATGTAGTTAATAGAATGTACATATTTGTGCTTAGTAAAATGTTGATTATTATGCCTATACATTACATCTTGGAACTTTTTCATGCAGTAACACTATATAGTAGTAATATTAGTATTAATATCAGAAGGGGTTCTTGTGGACAATATAGTAATTTCAATAGTTGAGATCATGAGTTAATTAAACCTAGACAACCATGAAAAACCTATAAGCACTGGACGGTCATTTTGTCCTATTGTGGAACTTCTCAACAGTGTGCATCCACGATCCCGACTTGCGAGATTCGAACACAGGACCGTCTAGTGCTTTTAGGTTTTCCATGGTGGTCTAGCTTCAATTGACTCATGATCATGAAATTAGTATTAATAGTTAATTATTCCATATACCCACAAACGTTCATGCAACTTAGCATGTACATTATGTCGCATAGTATTGATTACATTCATGTTTACCATCATAGTTATATTAATGCCTAAAAATGACAGTGATTATTAATATCTCCTTATCAATGCGATAGTCTGCCAATCTATCCTGGGCATAATTCCGCATCTAAGTAAATTTTCGCTTTTTCGTCTTGATGTATTTTTCTTAGAAATACTCATTAAGCTGTATAGTTTGATTATCATCGGTTTAGAATTGAATCTCAATCAACTGGTAACAGATTCGAATATCTCATCTCTTTATATACTTCAATTCGGTCAACTAGTACTTATATTAGTAATTTTTATAGTTGAATTGTGGCTTAAAGATTAGTATTTTGGTTGGATGGATCCTGTTGGATCTGTATAATCTGCTACTACATTGATTTTTCTTTGAAAAAAATTATTGAGAAAGATTGTGAATTTTACATATTAACCTTATAAAGAAAGCAGACAAATAGGTTTTCATGGAGAGATGATAATTTATGGACGAACCAATTAGATCTAGGATAACAGGTCATAGATTTCGGGGTGAAATTCATTCATCCATTCAGCTAAATAGCGTTTTGGCACTATATCTGATATCAGTTCATGATGAAAACCCTAAATCTAATTTCCAACCCTAACCATCAACTGTAAATCATAATTCTAACCCCTCATATCGGTTTATAACCCTCATTTGGTCCTAGTTAGTAGGTGAACACCTTCGAGGTCACTTTGGCGTCGCTCAAATGTCGTCCATAAATGATAATCTCACTATTTCCACAGTGAAATTTCTATTAAATTACGTTTGGTTCTATTTGAAATTCGTCATCCAAATGTACCTGGATCCTAATATTCTTGCTCATACTAGAACCTAAAACCATTGCCTTTTTCTTTTAAACGTTCATACGTCTTTCACTAATCTTTCGAGTTCAAACATCAATTATTTTAGTCAGCAAATATGAAATTACCAGTATAGGGTTGTTGAGATTGTTGAGTTTTAATTGAGATCATAAATCGAATAATGTTAGACTACCATTCAAAACTTGGACGTACTGAATGGTCGTTTCATCCTAGTATGAAATTATTATATACAAAGATTTCAGTTTCCCTGTTGTCAATATGGAAAACTCCATTTAATCAGTCTCATTTATTGGCTAAAATGTCAGTAGTCAAATTTCGGGATCATGTTTCAGATCAAGTAACTCTGACAATTACATTGTTATCAGTATAGGGTTGTGGAGATTGTTAATTTTTTTATTGAGATCATGAACCGATTGAGGGAATTTTCGGAGTTCTAGTAAGAAGCCATGATCAGCGGAGCTAGTCCGTGTCGGGTAGAGACAGGTATCTACCTCAGACAATAGAGGATGGTCACGGAATTTCGTGGGGTAGTTGAAGTTAGACATTAACACCGTTGGATACCGAATCAGTGGTCTAGAGTTTAAACGTTCGCTCGAGAGATCGATTTCCTGTGTTGGATCGTGGATGCGCACTGTTGAGGAGTCTCACAATAGGATGAAATGACCGTCAAATACTTCCAGGTTTTCAATGGTGGTCTAGCATCAGTTGGTTCATGATCTCAACAACAAAAACTTACATTGTTATTGCTAGATGAAGTTAGTTAATATTATTATTATTATTATTATTATTATTATTATTATTATTATTATTATTCGCATATTTACAATTACTTATATACTTATTTACATTCCATTGTATATTTATATGCTTCTATATATTTTACTCTGTTTCCGCCAATCCCCTCCCTCTGTCGCCTCATACAACTAACCAACAATTATCTAATCAATCCATAAACAAATAAACATCCCTCACATTTCTTCATTTACATTTTTTATTTATCATTTTTCTAGATGCAAGCTGTAAGTGGCCTTTCACGAAAGTAACTAACTAAACTCCTTGTGGGGTTGTTTGTTTGTTTGTTTTATTATTTTTTTTTATACATAAAGAAAAACGATTGCTTCGGTGTTGTTCCTGTTCCGGTTGTTGTTGTTGTTGTTGTCGATGTCGTTGTTGTTGTTGTTATATGTGATATTACATTTTCCAGCTTTTGTTTAGTTTTCATTTTATTATCGCTGTGGTTGTTATGTTTTACTTATGCATACTACCCTTATACCTACTTATCTTATATTCGACTATTTGTATGCACATTTGTTCCTTATTTTTGTTGTTGTTTTGTTATTTGTTTTACTTCAATCTCTTTATTATTTATTAGATTGTCAAATCATTAGTCAACTATGATATCTTCAATCAATTTAGTTGCCATGACAACATCTAATCATATTCATAATTCTTTACTTCTATTTAAAGAGATCTTTTTTCTCTTTTTTGTTGTTGTTGTTGCTGTTGTTCTCTTTACTTTCTTCTATTATTTACTTTTTTTAAAAGAACACAAAACAAACTGTTTTTAAGCAACAAATGAAACATTTATATATATATACTTATACATATTTAGGGAAACAAGGTGTCTAATTTGACTGAATACCATTGAATTACATAATAACTATCTATGTCATCTGTTCCATTGTATTTTTATAATTAGAATAATGAACATTAAAACTATTTGAGTAGGGTTGTTTGATTTTGGGTTGTTTTTTTTTAATTTTTACGGAAGAAAATCGATAGGTTAGTTTTGGTGATAAGGCACATTTCCATTGAAGGATCATGTTCATTATTACATCATAAAAAGGAGGTATAAATAATCAATGAAATGAGCCCATATATTTTGATTGATTATGTAATAAAATCGATTAGTTAGTTCATTTCTCTATTTATCCACGTGAATGTATATTCAATTATATTGATTTTAATCGGATCATTTTTTTTGTTTTTTTTTAATTAAACATAAGGATCATGGTATATACATTTATTGATCGAACTTGAAACAGGTACCCTAAGCTGTATGAGATTTTCTGAATGAGAATGTGTAAAAATAATGAAGGATCTCCACAAAACACAAACTCTTTAATATCGAAATGAATGATAAATTAATCAGTGGAGTTCAACCAGGTCTGTTGTCAGGTATCAGCTCACTGAAGACAATGGTATACGGTAGCGCAACATCGTGGATTGGTTGAAGTTAGACATTAACACCATTGGATACTGGCTCAGTGATCTAGTTGGTTAAGCGCCTGGCGCGAGACTGATAGGTCCTGGGTGCGGGATCGTGGATGCGCACTGCTGGGGAGTCCCATACTAGGACGAAACGGGCGTCAAACAGTGCTTCCAGGTTTTCCATGGTGGTCTAGCCTCAATTGACTCATGATTTCAATCTGTGATATAAATTAATCATTGGACTGAATTTGTGTGTTTTGTTTTTAAAATCTATTCAAAAACGCTATTATGAAACTACCTTCAATCTTGATATCGGTTTTTCATGGAAGATCCAAGTAATTAAGTGATAATATTTCTATGTATGACACTGAGTCATGATTTTAAAACTCACACAGAGAGAGAATATCAGCTACATTGAAACAGCCGATACACTTAACTACTGACAAGTTCTCAAGTTTATGAAACCTTGATGATGTAGTCATTCCTGACAAATACTCATTAATCATCAGACAGAAAAAACACGATCTATATATTCACGGAAACGGCATATAAAGTCAACCAACTTATTCCACTGGTTATCTTAGATTGAAATTGATTTTCTTAGGATGAAAGGAGGGGTAATGTCATGTCTTACGTTTTAACTACCGTGACAGTTTTGTTGTTTGTTTCATTCTACATCTGTTAGCCATCATTATGGATCTATATAGATGGAACTGTTTTTTTCAACCATATTTCAAATTTATAGAAGAGTATTTTTCTTTCAAATTTATCCAAAGTTGATCGGTTTATTTTTACACTTATCAATTACAGAGAAAGAGATTTATCAAGGCAACCAAGGACGCAATTGGATATTAAAACAATTAATGTCATATGTTTGAGAATGTCTTCATGATATTTCTAGATAAATTCATCGATTATTATAGTTTTACGGTCATTATTCGTACTATCAAGGGAGAAGTTATCTTTATGTTTAGTTTGGTTACTACTCAGTAAATTTCCAGTTTATATATAAGATGTTATGTATAATAGTACTTTGAAGTTTCAAGTTATTAAACTTAGTGTTATATAGTTAGTGGTCTTGAGTGTGATTAGAGGTATGAGGGTGGTTATTGATTCCCAATTGCCCACACCATGGAAGGGTTCTTCTAGAGGTAACTGAAAAGGAACTTGGATTAGAGGTGGTCTTAGCGACCTGAGAGCATGATCGCAGTGCCCAAGGGACAACTGCTTGAGGTGTTTTTGTGTTAGCTCCGTACTTGTTGAGACCTTACCACCGGAGACGGATATCCGTGGGATAAGGTGAGGTGTATATTTTTAGGGTCAACCATTTCTAACCCCAACCCTCCTTGTGGGAAGACAGCATCGTTGTCATGCTGGTTGTCTGAGGGAAACACCTTACTGCTGTCACGCTTCTGTACAGTCAGCAGTACGACTTCGCCTTCGGACCTTGGGTTTGCTGCTATTAGTCTTACCGCTCTTCAACCATCGTGTCTGACTGGCATGTTAGGACCTTGAGGGACGATTGTTGCAGTCAATATAACTGTATTGGTTCATCACGATAGGCAAGCCTGACCACCACGTCGAGGTAGCAACAACGGTCGGTGTTTTATAGTACTTATGTCGATATAAGTAGCTTACACCATAATGGAATTTAACTAGAATCATCACTGTTTTTTTAAGTGTACTCTTTTAAAATTGTGTTATTCTAAATTATTAAACTGTTTATTCTTAATTATAAGTGAACTAACTATAAATTGTACTGATTTTGATACGTCCATTTGACTGTCGTTGAATAATCATATTCATTCAACTTGGGTTATAATAAAATTGTACTGAAAGTGTTTAACTGAATGTTAAGTATAGTCTAAACTGAATACATCCTCCTTCCCTCCATTTTATGTACTTGTATATGGATGTTATATCCTGATGAGAATAATGAATGGTAACTTTTGGAATCCATTTATGGATCATTACTACACGTATATTTTTATCGTATAATTGTTAAGTAATTAAACTATTCATATTCGTGTCCCTCTTGTCATAAGCTTTATTTTGACCTATGAACTGTTATTATACGATTTACCGTTCTTGAGTCATACTCAGTCTATCGATTACTACCTCCCACATTCACAGCCATATTTGGCTAAATATTGTACAAATGTTGTTTCCTATTTTATGGTACGATGTGGTATGTTTGATTTGTATATAAACTTAGTATGTTTGAAATAAATGATTCATATTGCAGAGGCTGAGATTAGTGTCCTGAACTTAACAGGCAGGGCTAGTCGGGAAGAAGGACCGATAGGGACTCTAGGCTGCTCGTACGTGTCTTATGCGTTATTGGTTCAATCGATAATTCACTGGTCTCTAATTGGCAGTATCATTACATTATACATTAACAGGGCACACAGACCACAATTTATAACAATGGGTGTATATGACCCATTAGAGATCTTAATAACTGTGTGTTTGCTTCATAGAATTGGACTATACTATTCAAGTCCTCCTGAATACCAATATAACTTCACCCTCTTCCAAGGTATATTTATAATTGTGATTTGTTTATGAGTGTGTGAGCGTGCGTTTCCAACAGATCTAAAACAATACAATCTATCATTTACTCCTATTTTTTTTTGTAATGCTGCATACATCTGAAATCTTCAATCAATGTATGACGATTATGTAATCATTGTTTCATTGTCATACATTCCTAATCAATTGAATGTTACAATCACTTCTCAATAGAACAACATTATTGTCAACATTTTTGTTGCATCATTTTGATATTGTGACATTCAGAGATGATGCCTTTTTTTCTTTCTTCTTTTTCTTAAAGTAAATCAAGACTAGGAAATATGACACTATTGAAGTTGTTGTCATTTCACTTATCAGATTGTTATATATTTATCATCTTGTTTCTTATACATATAGTTTTTCAGTGAAATTCAAAGTTTTCTTCCTTTCAAACATCATTATTGTTTTTCTCGTGTACTACATATAGAGAGATGTGTATCTGTCTATGTAAAACTATCTTCAACTATATGTGTATACATATTCATTTAAACATATCTCTTTTGTCACTGGTTGAAATCATGAGTCAATTGAAGCTAGACCACCATGGAAAACCTGGAAGCACTGTTTGACGCCCGTTTCGTCCTAGTATGGGACTCATCAGCAGTGCGCATCCACGATCCCGCACCCCGCGAGATTCGAACCCAGGACCTATCAGTCTCGTGCCAAGCGCTTAACCAACTAGATCACTGAGCCAGTATCCAACGGTGTTAATGTATAACCAGTTCATGAAGTTGCGCCACCATACACCATTGTCTTCAGTGAGCTGATACCTGACAACAGACCTGGTTGAACTCCACTGGTCACTGCTTCTCACTAGAACTTCAGGATATATCTCTTGAAGTCAGTCACTACTGAGCTGAGGAGTCCCACAATAGGACGAAATGGCCATCCATTGCTTTCAGGTCTCCCATGATGGTCTAGCTTCAATTGACTCATGATCTCAACTGTTGAAATTGTTATTTTTGTTATTATGGTCTAGTAAGTACTACTTATTTTCATGTCTCTTATCAATAGTACGTGTATACATACATCTATGTATACATTGAATATTAAGTGTATTGTAAGTATTTCTAGGTGAAGTTTTTTTGGAATTTAATACGATTTCAATTTGTTTCTCTCAAAAATGAAAAGTACTAGGTGGTCGGAGATATTTCTATTTGTCAGGCATCTAAATAATTATGATAATACATAATGTTATGCTCTATTATCTTATAGATTAGATCTTTAGATCAAA